TTATTTTAAGTTTAGTTTATATTATTATTCCAGTTAAAAATTAATATTTTTTATTTTTTAAACAAGAAATTATAAATATTTATGAATTATTGTAATTACAATTACACTATAGTATAATTATTTTAAATTTATTTTGATCATAAATCTAGATTTGTTATCCGTTTGGGGTTTGTAACTGTTATAAGTGTTTTCCCCACCAAAACACAAACTTACATATGCCATTTTCGGGTAGTGCACATAGAATAGATTTGTATTATTTTAAATAAAATTTTATAACAATTTGTCGGAAATATTTTATTGAAAATTGATTGTAAACATTAACAAATTATTGTATTTTAATTGACGAATTTATATTGAATAAATTATTATTATTATTACTATTCTCTGTTTAATCTTGTAGTGTTAAAAAAATAATACAAAATTAATTGTCGAATAAAATAATAATATAAACTAAAACTACTTTTCAAAATTAACTAAACTAATAAAAATACATGATATTAATTATCAATAATTAAACACTTTAGTGTTTTAAAAAATAGTTAAAAATTAACAACAAGTTTGATAAGTATCAGTTGTATTAATCTCGGGCCACAATCGATAGATACAGCGATTCCAATGATTTAATCATTGGATGTGTTTTGACAATTGGCGGCACTTTTGTGTCCTTATGGACGGCGAACCGAAAGCGACGCAACACGTGAAACAACGCCAGCTTAGTCTCCAACAACACGAACGGCATTCCCACACAAACCCGGGGACCGGTACTGAACGGCAAGAAAGTATAGGGTTTTATATTGTGACGATTTTCGGGCAAAAAGCGGTCGGGAATGAAACTGTCGGCTTCCGGAAAGTACTCGTCCGAGTGATGGTTAGCGTAGATCGGTATCTCCAGGGGCTGTCCCTTTGGCACCACAATCCCGGTGCCGGTCAACGGGAAATCCCTACCCGGTATGCGTCTGAGTTTGACGGGCGTGGCGTGCAGTCGGAGCGTCTCGTTCACCACCGCATCAAAGTATGGCAATCGGCGCAACTCGTCGTACGAGATCTCACCGTTAGTGTGGGCGCCGGCGGCCACGATCTCCGCGTACAGCCGGTCCTGAGCTTCCGGTTTGAGCGCCATTTCGTACGACACGAACGCTAATAGATTCGCCATTTGGTCGAATCCAGCGGTGTATATATTGAACCCCTAAGCGACCATCTCGTCCTCTGTCAGCGGCGCTTTCACCACGTTTTGGCCGTCAGTCTTGGCCGCCATCAGTAGACTGTCCTCATCTGCGCGCGAAGAGTAAATAAAATAGTTTACATTTTGTAATAATTATTTTAAATAAAATTTTCAATACTAAATAATGTTTATAATTTTTTCAATGTTTCAACTGACTCACCTTGATCATCATAAACATCGGGCTTGGAGTGCATAACAGCGCTAATAAAATCGTCGCCATTATCGCCGACACTCGCTTTCGCGCGAATAATCTGTCGTATAGTACGCGCAATATTCGCGATACACGTCTCGTCAAAAAACGAGCTGATATTAAATAAGCGCAACGCATAGGGCGGCAGCACTTGTAGGGCAAATAGTTTCCACACCGGGAGGCGAAACACTGGCCACGCGTTGGCCACAAACGGGTGTTGGGGTTTGTTGTAAGGATCGGTTGGGACGCCAAACGCGCACCGCGTTATGCACGACAGCGCGAAGCAACTGTACGCCCGTTTCAGGTCACACGGCGCGCGTGAGTCGGCGTGAGTGTACAATATAGGCAACAGGTGTTCGCTCACACAGTAGCGCACATGCATGTACTGTTTGCGCATGCGCGCTACGGTAAACCCATGGCTGACGGCGTTGCGCGCTCTCCGCCAGGTGTCGCCCCGCGTTGTAATCAACATACTCTCGATGACCGGGTGGCCCACATTCGTGATGCGCGGTTTGGTGTTAAACACACGAAAGTCCTTCACCAGGATCTGTTTGATGATATCGGGTTCCGACACCTGTACTAACGGTTTGCTGCCCTCGAATATTCTAGTTCATTTGAATCAATTTACATTGATTAATTTTGAATTAAATGAAATATAATTTATAATTACCCATAAATTTTGCCAAATTGTTTCGTTCGCTGCACTTCGAGGTCAGGCTTTGACACGAAGAGCAGGTCTAATAGATTACCGAATATGACCACAGGTTTCGGCCCTTTTAGGCCCAAAGTGTCAAAGAAACCAAAATTACGGCTTAAATACCTGTCAATAAAATCATGACTACTGTTACTTAAGCCAATAGAAATACATTTAAAATTAAATCAAAGTAAGTATTTTGTAAAAACTCACAAATGTAAAACAAATATAATTAATAACTACAACAACAATTTTAAACAAGGATCACACAGCGATGCTATACGTTAACCACAATTTGGGAGATGCTCAAAGAATAGATTCTATACAGATTTAATATGAGTACATAGAATTAGCATTAGTTTTATAATGCTAAGTCTATGGGAATATAACATTAGTCCCATAGACTTAGCATTACCCATGGTATTTCTATGCAATAGACTTAGTATTGCCCATAGACTTAGCACTGTCCATAGACTTAGCATTACCTATGTTATCCCTAGAGCAGAGATAATTCGGGAATTCCCGAATAAAATTAGTTAATGGAATGTTCGGGAATAACATCCAGTTGGTTTTGGAGGTTATAATAGAGCAAAAATATACCATTTTTATTTTCCCGAATTCTCCCGATTTTGGCATATTTTCAGAATATTCCCGATTTTAGCCTATTTTGAAAATATTTCCGATTTTGACATATTTTAAGGGGAAAATCTCAAAATTATATTTAAAATAGGCAAAACAAACTCTTTTTTTAAGAAAAACTAAAAATATTACTATAAAAATCCAAAAAATTTTAAGATAAAATGTCTTTTCGAACGAATTTTCTTTTAATTTAAGAATAATCTCACAAATAGAAGACAGACTTCAAGAGTAAAACTTCAATGTCTATGTCATTCTACCTATTAAAATTTATTTTAAAGTGATTTAAATCTATAATTAGTGTGTTTGAACTGAATAAACGTTAATTCCCGAATATTCCCGAATTTGACTGTTTTACGAACGATCCTATAAACCACATTATTCATACTGAATTGTGGTTAAAAACATATAGTTAATGATTTATTAACCTTGTTTAATAGTTGTATTAGTGTTGGTGCAGATACAAATCTTGTATCAAATAAATGTATTATTCTATGTACAGGATGTTTCAATTATGAGACTCAACAAAAAAGATTATATAATGATGTGATGTAATGGTGCAGTGGCGCCGCTATTGTAATAAGTGCACCACATCATTATGTAATATTTGTTGTTGGGTCCCATAATTAAAACATACTGTATTATTCTCTTTATATCAATAATATAAAACTCGTCCGCGCTCTCTATTGGTCAAATATTTTAAAATTTTCACAAAACACTATTACTTGATTTTTTATTTTAAATTTAATGAACTATTACTAATGATCAATTATTTATTTTATCTTAATTATTATTTAACTAAGTTAACTGAATATTTCGCGTATTAAAGCGTATTCTACAATAATATTTTTACCCATAATTCATGACTATATAATCGGGTCTTACTGTATACTCATTTTACAAGATTTATAAATTTTATATGTATATTAAACTGATAATATCAGTCATGACATGACATATGAAAGACTTTATCGCATAGTAAGGTATATACCATTACTCAATGAATGAGTTTATATTAACAACTTATGCGTTTACAATTATTTACTAATTTAAACTTGTGGTCAATGTTATATTTGATGAACAGGATATACCTTATTATGCGATAAACTCTTTCATATTATGTCAATTGTTTGCCGTATCTATAATATTTATGCAATTTATTCAATATATATTTTTATTTTGCTCATTTAACGCTCATTAAGACACTATGGTAAACATTTAGGCTAAATTTTCAGACACTCTATATTAGCGACATCTACTGTATTTACTAATTTATTAACTGCACATATTTACTAAATAAATCACTGATTTATGTAATTTATTCAAAATTAATTTTATTATATAAAAATAATTTATGTAAATACTAATCACAATACCAAACCCCTCGCAAAACGTATTATGACCACCATGGCCAATTATCAGGTCCACGAGTTACACAATCTGCTTTTGCGGCACATATTTTTGGCCATACATGTTGTCCGGCAGTTCATAGGTGTCGTGTTTTGGGTCCTTTCGATACAATGAACCGGTGCTTAGATTTAGACCAAATACTTACCTCTCTGCGGAGCGCGTAATTTATGTAAAAAATCTGCAAACAGCTGCAAATGGGACACAATTTCTAAATACTCGCCGTATCTAAATGTAAAGTGTAAATGTATCTACAGTAAATGTGCAAATCATAGCTTTTCAATGCTTATAACGTTGCGTGAATTCTATTGAATGCAATGTATTTATTTTGAATTTGGTCTATAATTCGGTCATTTCTGGCCATTCGCCAATTATTTTGACGGAAAATAAATCTTTGAACTGTACTGAATATGTCCTGAACTAGAATAAGCTTAGCCATTTATGGCATAAAAGAACCTATTTTAAATTGTATTTTCTAATTGTATAATTAATTATTCTTTAAAGTTGCCTCATGATAAAATCTACGTTTACGTCAAATGATGATTACCAAGTTTGGTTTAGTAAATATGATTACAATGGAACTTTATATTTTTAAATATTTAATTAAAATTTTAATAATAATTGTTACTAACAAAAAATTTATATTAAGCCAATGGATTTAGTATGCATTGTAAACATTTTTAAAAGTCATATAATAACCTTGTTGAACAATTTATAATCATTTTTATTTAAACTCCAAGTATCAATGTTAAAGTAAAAAATTTCATTACGTGTGTAGTAGTCTACAGTGAATTTTAAAAAATATTTCTTTATATAAAAACTTTTAATTAGAACTTTTACATTAAAATAAAATGTCATTTCGTAGCCTAACTGTGCTGTTCATCCCGTTTGACGCCGTGGGACACGTGAACCCATTGGTAGCCCTATCCGAGTCACTGCTGACTGCCGGACACCAAACCGTAGTTCTACTGACACACCGATGGCGGCAAGTGTTGGACACAACCCACCCGAACACCAGAGCCATATTCTACGACAGTCAATCCCAACGGCCAGAATCGACGGCGGCCGAGCCTGCTCAGTTTCTCGGTGAACTACTATTGCAGCATGGTCTATTGTCCAACAACGGCCCGGTGGACAAAATGCTCAACAATATTAAACATATGCTCTCTCATTGGGCGGCACAGTTGCCCACAAATGACGCTCACATTGAACGCGCCATACGTGATGTTCGGCCCGACGTTATTGTCGTCGATTTCCCGCTCGCTCTGCCGTCGATTGAACGGTCGGCTGTGCCCTACGTTTGCGTCAATGTGTGTAATCCGTTGCGTCATATACTCGACACCAGAACGCCTCCATTCGGTACAGGTTTGTCATGTTTTTAATTTATCTAAATAGTTAAAAATAACTTTATATTTTTTCTAAATTATCATATTTGTTAATTGAACTATGACCATCATTACTAGTGATTTATTATCTATGTGATACTTAATCAGATCAATAAATATTAAAATAAGAGTTTTGCAAAGCTGCCATGAATATAATTTAAACAAATAGATTTTGAAGAATTTCCAAAATTTTAACATTATTATAAAATCAATGTGCTTTTGAACAACAATTTTTGTTGGTAATTGAAAAGGATAATTTTTTCCATTATTGTGATTAACATTGTAACTATTGGAGTCTCTTGTAAATGTAACCATCATTATAATGGACAGGTTATGCGGCACTGGGAGACCAAGTCGAGTGGAAAGCCTTTACGGAGAAATATTTGTCGGCGACTCTTGATGTTTGGCACCAAAAGAGCGCATACTTTGTGTCCAAAGGCTGCGAACCGCTGCGAATGGGCGACCATTTTAAACACTCGCCGTATCTAAACGTATATCAGTTCCCAATTGAGTTGGACTATCAAGAGATGCGTCCAAATCCGCCCAAACACTACCGGTTCGACCATTTTATGAGCACTGGTGGCGACCACCAGGTGTTTGAGATACCGATATCATTGGCGGACAAACCGGAAAAGTTGGTATACTTTTCGTTGGGCTCTATGGGGGCCACAGATGTACACAATATGAAGAGATTAGTGAGTATTTTGTCTAAATCTAAGCACAGGTTTATTGTATCGAAAGGACCCAAACACGACACCTATGAACTGGCGGACAACATATATGGCCAGAAATATCTGCCGCAGCGACAGATTGTGCCACTCGTGGACCTGATAATCACCCATGGTGGTAATAATACGGTGTGCGAGGGGTTTGCCGCCGGGAAACCGATGATCATATTGCCACTACAGGGCGACCAATACAGTAACGCCCAACGGGTGGACGAACTCGGTTTCGGTGTACGTCTGGACGCCTATAAGTGCACTGAAGGGCAACTCTTGGCAGCAATCGATCGGCTCTTAACCGACAGGGAATTACACGAAAGATTGGCTATAATTACGGACAGAATTAAAAAGGATAACAGTATCGCAAAGTTTCCACAATTGATTGAAAGCATTGTATTTAATAAATAAATTGTTAACCAATTTAGTAATTAGTTTAACCAAGAAAACTTTAACTATTAAAAGGCGATTCAAATATAATAATTTGAGAACTTTATTTACTATAAACAGTAGGGAAACCGTTTGGAAGCGTTTTTTGGTTAATTTCATAGATATTAAAGTGTAATGTTTAATCTATTTGCTTACCAACAGGTAGCGTGACCACCTGTGCTCTATTTCAGAGAACAGTTCTCTATTTGGACCTGCATTTGAACAAAATAGAGAACTGTTCTCTATTTTGATTTGGTAATAAATGATAAAAATTTTACTAAATTTATTAAATATTTATTAATCTATACAATAATAAACTGTTTGAAAGATGTAACACTTTCTTAATTAATAATTGCCATTTTTACACACTTAATACAATAAATTTTATTACCTCAATTAATAAATAACTTCAATTTTTTAATTAAAACGAAAAATTAATATAAAATATGTGTTCTCTATTTGTTCTCTATTTTAACAGAATTTTAGTCAAATGTTCTCTATTTTTAAACTCAAAGGTGGTCACACTACCAACAGGTCTATTAGCGTTACTCAAAGAGAAATATTAATGACTGTATACTTTAATATTTAGTTTTAAAAAATAAACGGTTTCTCTAATAAACAGTTATACACTTAATAATAGACTTGTCATAGATTTAGCATTGTCCATATACCTACTGTAACTTTGTTTATAGACTTAACTTTGTCCATAAACTTAGCATTACACATGTTAACCCTATGTCATAAACTTAAGCTGTAATCACATAGAAACCCATATTAAAGCATTCTCCCATAGACTTAACAATACTCTCATAAGATTAACATAAAGAAACTTTCCGTTCGTTTCATACAGTATTTAAGTTTTCTATCTGCCTATATAAACAGCTTCACAACTTTTGAAAGGATTATCCGATTTTGATCCTGTCTTCACCATAATATAGATCAACGATTCCGATTACTAAATCCGAAGAGAAATTTCAAATATCTTTATTTTCTACCGAGATAATTAAGTTTAATGCATTTTTAAAGAATTTTTACATAGACATAATGTTAAATTCAAAAAAATTCAAACTTATTTTTGATATAAATGTCAAACAAATTTTATGTAATTTTCAATGCTGAGTTCGAATATGATACTAAAAGGTTTGTACTCTGAATATTTTTCAAGTTATTAGATTTTTTAAGTTCAAGTCATTTATCAAAAATTTTAGAAATACACAATTGTAAGATTTATTGAATCAAAGCAACATATTGTTTGTTGTTTGTTAATATCGTCAAATTTGTTTTAAATTAGAGTTGTTACTTTTCGAATTTTTCGAATTTATAAATTATTATAAATTTTGTATATCAAATAATTTGAAAAATATTCAAGATACTTTTTAGTATCATATTCGGACTCACAATGGATTGTCAAGGTCTTGTTATGCAATATTACAAGTTTAATGGTGGTAAATTATTGTCTAGGTCATATTAAATAACATTATGAAAAAATTTCATTCCAATGGGGGGTCTATGAGGGCTAAAACGCCCTCCAAAGTTTAACAGTAGTCATACATAGCTTGTTAAGATACATGTACTGTTGTAGGGATAGTGGCGCAGCGGTGGAGCATAGGACTGGGTAACTATTGATACCAGGTTCGATTCTCACCCATGTCACGATTGATTTTTTGTTTTATTTTGTATTATTTATTATTGTTAATTTTAACTACATTTGCAGTTAATTTATATAATAAATAAAAATGATACTAATTTAATGATAATGATATTTAATAAAGAAATCATCAAAACATAAAATTTGGTCACAATGACTACACTTTACAAAACCAATACTATTACATAAATTACAATTATCATGAAAATTAAATAATATATCATAAATGTTTAAGGAATCAAATTTAACTGAATTATTAGTTAAGCATAACCAGGCATTTTTAAAAAAATTGTTGAATTTATCACTAGAAAATTGATTAAAAATTAATGACCATAATTTACATATATTGTTTCTGTCTTTTAAATTTAAATCTAATCCTTCAATTAAAACATAATTTGATATCCTTTTTGCAAATAATTTAAAATATTTAAATACTCCATAATCTAATGGTTGAATCTGTGAAGTAGTTCTTGGTGGAATAGTCTTCCTCACTAAATTCGGGTTATTATCATAAATATTATCATCGTTTTGTCCCGTATAAGAATCCAATAATAATAAACATTTCTCTGGCATATACGGAAGAAACACATTTTTATATCTATAAATATAATATATTTTAAAAATACAATCATGACATAGGTGAGAATCGATTAGTTTAGTTAATTTTTTATTTACGTACCACCAACTCATATGTGTTTTTGTGAGTTTACCCGATTTACTACAAGTAAAGCTGATGTTATCCAGTGGTTTCATTGATGCTAATACTCGTGGACCCATTTTACCATCTTTTTCTTGAAAACATATAAGTATTTTAAGATAGAATTTACCATTCTTCATCAGAATTGGCATAATAGTGTAGGTATGAGTACAATCATACAATGCTTTAACTGTAAGCATTGTACACTTTTCACCCGTATCACTTAATGTCCGAAGTGAATGCATTTCATATGCGCAATCACATTGGTCAATATTACATTGTTCTCTAGAATGTAAACAAAATTAATCAATCATGACATAGGTGAGAATCGAACAAATTAAATATTACGCTTCGGGATAGTTTTGTTGAATTTCTTGATATTCTTGTTTAAATTTTACTATAGATTCTGTAATATCTTGACTTTTATTTAATTCTTTAACTGTTAGAATTTTAGTAACTTTTCGTGTACTTATTCTATTAATTTTTTTAAATTTATGAATCCATCCATCACTCGCTTGAAATAAAAAATTATTGTTTTTCCCATATTCATGAGCCCATCTTTTTAAATCAAGAATATGCACAGGAAAATACATTTTTCTTGCGTTAACATATTTACTTTTTACAAATAAATATAATTGCTCCAAATGTTGATAATAATTGCCGCCATTTTGAACATATTCTCGATATAACGGCACCATGGCCATACTTTTTAGGCCGTGCCAAGCATTATTTTTGACTGAAGAGAGTTTATGACTCGGGTGATCATCACAATACTTTACCACTTTTTTCATTATTTCAAGTGAAGGGGTTTTTCTTTTCTAAAAGTTTTATTGTTTAATATTATTACTTGAATCTCAATCATGACATAGGTGAGAATCGAATTAATTACTTACCGATGGTGTTTTTGAATCACTAATAAAATCATAATCATGATCAACATTAATGGCGTTTAAATTGTCTTCTTTGTTATTACAATCATCGTCACCATCAATGAGTATTCCCTCTTCAAAATCATTGATTGAATTAATGTAATTTTCAATGATTTTTAATAAATCATTTGAAAATTTAATTTCATTTCGATTTACAGCACTTGTTTCAAAATTATACTTTAATTTAATTGTACTTAATAAACAATTAATAACATTAAAAATATTAAATGTTTCCATTTTATACACTATTTTTAATGAATGAGCTCCTAATGTATACCATAAATGAATATATATATGAATGAAAAATGTTAATCTCTGTTATCTGATATAAGTATTAAAGCAAATATACTATAAATTCAAAGGTTTTAAAAGTAAAATAATACAAAATTAAACACAAAAATCAATCGTGACATGGGTGAGAATCGAACCTGGTATTACTCGTTACCAAGTCCTATGCTCTACCGCTGCGCCACTATCCCTACAACATTACATGTATCTTAACAAGCTATGTATGACTACTGTTAAACATTGGAGGGCGTTTTAACCCTCTTAGACGCCCCATATGGAATGAAATTTTTTCAGAAAGTATATTATTATGCTCTAGACAATGATTTACCACCATTAAACTTGTAATATTACATAACAACAGGTTGATTTTCCATTGTTAGTTTTATTGCAATAATATGTTAAGTTAGTCACTTTTTAATTATGATATGAATTCAAACAAATGACACAGAATTAAGTGACATAATGTATTTCAATGGCATATTTGAATTTCTCATAACTCAAAAATTACTTATTCATTTTTGACAAACTACATACCAAATTGTTTAGAATAAAATATGACTTGATACATCTATCAGTATTTTTCTCGTAAACGATATAAACGTAAGTATTTTGCTTTAAAGTGATCAAATTTACATAATTACAATTGCTTGCCATTTAAAATCTACATGTTCAATTTTAATGATTAGTACATCAAATTGTTCATAATTAGATACTTCAAAAAGTAATTTTTTAATTTTTTGATTTTTCATTTAAAACATTTATAAATCGATGTAAAACAAATTTCTCATAGGAATACATTATGATACTTAATTCTGTATCATTTGTTAAAATTCATATGTAATTTATCTAAATCCTTATCACTTGCTCTTGGTCCATTCATCGAGGTAACATAACCATTCATTATATGAATCACCTTTTTATCAATATATTGCATAAATCCATTGTAAAGTTCAGAGAAATTACACATCGTTTTTACAGTGACTAAAAGATTGGGTTTCTTATAAGTGAAGTGCATTTCATTATTTAAATAAGTGTACGGTTTGTATGCATTAATGTTCTCATACTTTCAAAATGTAAACTTACGTATAATGATGATTACCAAGTTTACAAGGTTTATTAAACATGATTACATTGGAAAAGAATGAATTAGCATTTTTAAAACGAAATTGTTAGTTATTAATTTTGTACCGCAATTTTATGTACTTTTATAACTGTAAGTAAACTGTAGGATCAAGGTATAAAATATATTTATAAACAATAAATAAGCGGTCAATTAATTTGTTTGCTCCTACATACGAATAATTATAAAATTAAAATTTATAAACTTTATTTAAACATCTAATTTTTAAAATTAAATTGCGTGGTATAATTAATATTGATGATAATATAATATAGTATACTATTAGTTAGCATTCGGTCGAAAATAGTTTTAAATATATTGAATATTATATTAACATTTGTACTGATTTCAGTGATAATGTTTTCAAAGCAAACATTTCTCAACACTAATGAGGGAATTGGCGACCAATATATGGATCACAACTCACAACACAATAGCGTTAACATTGATTACACGCAACCGATAGACAAAATGTTAAGTGATGTTTCATACGCGGCAATAATTGACACTGGTAAAACTTTTTATATAAAATTTTTATATTATTTATTTTATTGTACATGTTAGTAAATTAGTTTTTATAAAAGTAGATTACTATTATGATATTATTTAATTTTGCATTTAATGATTGCAATATTGCATTTTTAAAAAATTAATATTTTTATATAAACTTATATTGCAATTAGTGATGGTATCTAGATACCATGATTATTATTGTTAACTATTCATTATTTCCTGGATAAATGATTGTTGTCTGTGCACCTAAACCTTACATGTAATAAACGATATAATAACCTAAGGTAACATTCTATCACATCTAATACAATCTCGTATTCATAAAATATTTGTCTGTTATATTTATATATTTTTAATTATCACAGATTGAAAAATAAGATTACATTAGATATGATTTACGCGAATATTAATAGATTTGTACGAAAGCCCAGAACCGGAGGCACAGGAAAGCGATGCACAAAGCGGACGACTACCCCAACAACAGTCACGACTGGTTGTAGTCTCCGGTCGTTCGCAACGTATTGTCAAAAATATATTGGACTTCGGGTTCGGCGGCGACCGGAAAGCCGACGACGAGTTTCGGACACTTGTGGACAAAGCCTTCAAAGGAAAGAGCCGTACGAATGGCTCGACTGGAGTGACGGATAGAGTGGACGACGAGTTATGGCGCGGATTCGCTGTATTCACGAGAACTACAGACAGCGACCGATTTCAACAGATCTCGAGACACATTACGAGACAATCGGCACAATACAAACCTAGCATTTGGTTTATGTTTAACGGTAAAATTCGTTTAGATTTTAGTTAATTTAAATATTAATTCAGTATTCAGTGTTGAAAATGCAAATAATTTTTTAATTTGTTTGTGAAAACAAAATATCGTAAAATTAAATATCGAGTAGTCATTAAAATTTAAAGAACTTATTACAATTTCTCATACGAAATTATTTCCAATAGGATTAACATTACCCATAGAATAACATTAGCCCATGTAAAGTCGATGGAAAAAGCTCCAAAGGATTAGCATTATCCATGTTAAAGTATAGCCATAGACTTAAGCTATTAAATAACTTTAATATATGAGCGGGGTATTATTTACATATTAATATTACATGCTAAATTATATAAATTACCAAGTTAAAAAATAATCACGTCTACCTATTTGAGACTTTGGCAATCACTGTGTATTACCAATTTAAGAGTTGCGAAGTAGTGGCTAAATACGTTTTCTCAAAATAAAGTGCATAATAAATATAAATTCTAGGTATGGGTCCAGGAGTTGCGCGTTCATTGCCGTCATTGATGACAATCCCGGCGTTTAAAGCATCAGTAGAAATGTCGGCCCAAATGCTATCCCCTCTGGGCGTCGACGCCATCGAGTGTATGACCGAACCATTTGATGATTGGTCGACCGGATTGAGTAACCAATACATTCATCGCGTGCTTATCGCGACAACTGTGCATCACTTGGCACTCGTCGACGCGCTCAACGCCGTTGGCATCACTCCCGACGGCTATTTAGGCGCATCGTTGGGCGAACTCATGTGCCTATATATGGATGGCCTGTGCGCTCGGCGCCAATGTTTGGCCATTTGTCGCGCAATTTGGCCGCCGGCGTGTGCGCACCGGTTGTGGGCATTACGCGCTACGAACTCGTGGCGCGACATTCAAACACACGCCGCGAATAGATCGGACATTAGTGTATTGGCGCACGTGTCGGACACTCGTATGAGCGCAATCGGTACCGACGTTGCCGTGCGTGAGCTGCGCCACGTGTTGGGCGAAACAAGAGTGCTCAAGCAGCATCCGATGACTATGACCTTTCACGCGGGCAATATGTTAACACCCGATATGGGCCGAGTGTTAGTGGACCAATTCGCCAAGGTGGCACCCGAGCGCGTTAACACTTGGCCCACAGATCGTTGGCTCTCCACATCTGAACCCACTATCCCGATGGCTAACACCGGCTCTGGCGCTGACTCTGGTTTCTCTGCGGCCGAGAGTTTTGCCAATACTTTGGTGTCTCCCGTATTGGTTAAGGAGGCCGTCGATCGCTTGCCCGCCGACGCACTGGTCGTCAATATCGCCGCCGATTCCCGTTTACGAGACGTCGCTCTAAGCGGTCGACTGCAGGAACTGTATGTCAAAGAATTGGAGTCGAGTCCGGAGTCAATGTTTGGTATCAATCAATTGTTACGTGAGATCGGACTCGTGTTTACGGCCGGACACTGGCCTCGGGTTCACGATTTGATGAACATTTAGACCACTTCTCTGTCTTTCGGGTGATTCTTATCCATTGCTGTAATTCATTGATTTGTTTTTTAAACTTAATTAAAATTATACCAATACATAGTTATTAACATAGTAAATAAAATGTTTTAATTATCTAGTATAATTTATTAAATTACACCAATTATAAAATTTTAATTATCTTCAATAAATAAATAGTGTTATTTTTATTTATTTAATAAGCTAAATTTTACTTTAATTTGAGGTGAATTATACTATTAAAAATAACTTAAATATGTTGTATAAATTATAATTCATACAAACTATATTTTTTATTTACATAATATGGCATAAATAAATAGTAAATTATTATTATAAATTAAAACAACATTGAACAATTATTTATACATTGTATAAAATATTAGCCATGTGTGCAAATATAAAAGTATACATACAAAAATGTATTGTTAATTAAATTGCATACGTGTGTTGAATGTAGTGAATAAATCAGACACGGATTAAAATGCACGTAAATCTGTATAAATAAACTATTTTATACAATAACAAATATTACCCAACATTGGGTGTGAATTAGCCCTGGATTTATTTTATCGTTAATTAATTCAATAATTTATTATACATTGATTTATTATTGTAAACATTAGTTAATAATTTTAATTTGTATTTGTAAATAAAATAATCATTTGATTCAATATATCTGTGATATAAATAGCAAATTTTCACCATAGTTAACCCTGGTTATGGTTCAAATTTAATGTAGACTAGTCAAAATTTTTACTGTACATGTAAATATAATAAAAATTAATCTTGATCAATGCAAATGAAGCACGTATCTGAAATATTTCACATTTTATTTATTTAACAAAATTTATTGTTAAACAAGTTTATTAAACAATAATAATTAAATTAGGTTGCGGCAAATATTTTTACCATTATATGATGTGTACTGTTATGTCAAAGTTATATAACTAATTTTATATAACAAAGTGTTGTTTAAATTTTTAAACAATTATTTTTACGTTAATTATTATTATGTTTTTATTGCAATAATCTTCAGTTTATTACAATTATACAATACAAGGTATGTAATATTTATTTTTGGTTTTCATCAAGTGCAAATAATTTAAATAATGTAAATTATAAAATTAAACCCTATGTTATTATTACATGAGAGAGAGAGAGAGAGAGAGAG